ATAATATTATTATTATATTATATTATATTATATTACATTATATACATTCCTCTCGGTGCTACTGGTAGAGACAGGGTGTTCTGACTGGATGTCATGGAAACCAGGCTGACAGTTCTCTTGGTTCAGTAAAATAGTTTTGTGTAGCTCATAAAAAAAAAAAATCACGTTAGCATAAATTTGTACCTGAATGTTGGGATTCTGCCCATTAATATCTGCTTTTGACAGGTCAGGGAAGTTTGGGAGATCCAGGAGGAAAGATCTGGGTCCATCTTATTGCAAGGACGTATGCCCGTTTTCCTGCCTGAATCGCTGCTTAGGGAACGGCCGGTGGGCAGCCTGGAGATCAGGGTATTCTCTTCTGTCCTCGGGGTTCAGGGTGAAGCTGTCTTCAGGAGAACGGTCATCTGCAGTGAGTGTGTTCTGGGGAAAAAAGCAACGCACTATAACAACTGAGAGAGTGTGCAGTCCTGCCAGCGTCCCCGTCTCCAGCTTCCTGCCAATGACGGCTGCAGAGTGCATACAGAAATCCTTACAGCACGCAGACCCACGGCTCGTTACTGAAACACACGGGATTTGTGACTGGTATTTTCTAGGGTGCTCATGAGCTTGGCATCTGACTCTCACTGAAATATACTTAGTTACAGCGGTGCAAATCCGTAACCAGCTGACGCAAGCTAAAACTGGGTCAGACTTGGGCGCTTAGCTCTTTCAGGTTCCTGTAACATTCCAGCCTTGCAGTGAGCACCTACACACTGACACAAGCATCTAACTTGTAGCAAATGGGGAAACATGAAGCTCTGAAGCAACCCCTGGGAAATCAAATTACATCACATTAAATGTGTCCCTAAAATGGTGAAAGGTATCTTTATTACAAATCGGTTTAGTTTGCTTTGTTCCAAAGTGGAGCAAAAACGCTGGCTGCCAAGTGCATGTTGAAATTTCTGGTATTAAAAGATCCTACCGCTGAACTGGCACCCTCCCCCTCTCTCTCCTCACTCTGCAACGACTTCCATCTCGTCGTCTGTGTTCCTCACCCAGTGGCTCTGGTCTTGAACATCTGAACCTTCCTTCCTCTGGGATCTCATTTTCATGTCTGCCTAATGGTGGGATTGAATTTCACCAAGTTGTGGGTCAGCGGTTAATGCTTTTGTTATTGTTGAGCGTACTTTCGGGTTTTGTAGTATATTGCAGCAGGCTGCCTTCGAACCAGTAGCACTGCTGCCACTGCCTTTGACCTCACCAAGGAGGTACATTTAGTATCAAAACACTCGCTCCCTGGGTTAGGACTGGCCTGGGGACTCGGGGAAAAAACCCGCAGAGAAGTCCAATCTTCTTATGGCTACAAAAAATGTGTGGGGCAGATTCAGCACAGGTTTTGCTTTTGACTCAGCTGAAAAACTTTAGGCTTGAGGTCTTAGTATGACTGCCCGGGGAGCTTTTATTTTCAGTTCATAAAGAGACAGCAAGCATGGAGAGGGTAAATGTTAAAGACCTATCTTTTAAAACAAGCACAATTAAAGTGGAATGGCCACATGTGGTTCTGGCTCCACTGAAGCATATTTTTGCCAGCATTTCTGGTTAAACGCAATCTCCATCCAGCTCCCCTGGCTCAAATTAAGCTAGCATACCTTTTGTTAAGCTCTCAGATAGATATGCCTTTCTTTTCCAATGCCTTTTCTTTTATTATTTCGTGTTTATTTGCTTAGAAGGTTCTAAATTGAGTTTTGAAGAGATTTTACCATAAAATCTGTGCTCATTACAGGAAAATATTCAGTGAGTTAAATAAACCAAGATTTAAGAGTTAAGCTGGGACCAAGTGAAATCGTCTCAAGCAAAAACTCAAGGTGGTTCTCTCCTCTCCCCTTCTTGCTGCGCTGCGTTTGTAAAGAGCAAAATCAGATTTAGCAGAACTAACGTTGTCTTGCTATTTTCACGATCAGAACGGTTACACTCTGAAAGTGCCAAAAAGGTATGATACGTCTATCTACGGCACAGATGCGAAAAGTTCATTCCGAGTTAGTGCACGTGTGCAGTGCTAAAAAGGTACGTGCTCCTGACACTCTGTATTGCTTGAAGGCTGAAACAAGAACGCTCCTCGTTGTTGAAGACCAGGCAGGACTTTCAGATGCCTTTGGTGGGCCACCCATTAACACACCCCTTATTCAATATAAAGTAGAAAGCAAATCACACAGCAGCAAGCTCTGGGAAACAAAACTGAGGGCCACTCGTCTAACTTTAGGTTCCGTACCCATGTGCTAGTGCTTTAACTTATCAAACAGAATTTAACGGCAAACTTCTCGGCACATGAGGATTAAATGGCGTCTCAGTTATGTCTGACTAACAACAAGGTGTAATTGTCCTGTTATTAAATTACTTCAGACAGGAACCAAAAAAGAATGTGGTACTTAACTACTTTTTTCTGGGGTATCAGGCCCATAATCTTACCTTTATTAAAAATAAAGTGAGATTTTATTAAAAAATAATAAAATTCTCACATACAATTTCATACCTTCCCTATCTGCTTCCCACTTCAGGAGCGTCTTGATTCTCCACATTAACATACCATACAGCTAGATCTGGCCAAGGACTTTAGAGACCTACATTTAATTCTCTGATAAGACTCGCTGTGTGATCTTGGCAGGTCGTGGTCTCTCTGTGCCTCGGTGGGGATAACAGCACTTCCCTTCCTCACTGTGATGTTTGCGGGGAGCTCAGCAACTACAATAATAAGGGCTATATAAAAAGTTTTTAATAGTGTCAGACAGATGGAATATCACATGGAGTTAGTTAGAAAATTGTCATGGTGAAGTAATGACATCAGGCTGATCGGGCCCACTACCAAGCTGCTTGGGGCAGGGACTGTCATTAATTACAGGCTGAAGGAGTTGGGGTTGTTTAACGTTAAAAAGGAAAATGGACGGGGACATGATAACTGTCCTATACCAAAGGCTGCTGCAGCGAGGAAGGGGATGGACCACTCCGCTTGCTCAGGGTGGACATGACCAGAAGACTCCGGTTCAACGTTAGGTACACATTTCTGATGGCAGTGACAGCCAAGCTCCAGAGCAGACTTTGGGGGGGGGAGGGGGAACGTGGAGTTTGTCTTTAAGAGCAGGGTTGACTAATGCCTGGCAGGAATGACACAGGTTAAATACTGTGTCCTCTGCCTAAAAGCAGTGTTATCTCTTGCAGTCCCTTTCACGCTAGGACAAGCCCTCGCTGTCCCTCCTTGGGGCTTCTCTGTCATGCTGCAACATAAGCCAACAGAAGTGCTCGATATACACGATCGTTTCAGTTATCTGCTCATAGTACCATAAGCGAAAGACCATTTGTTTCCAGTTACTAAAATGAATAGAATGCCTATTTTTTGGGGGTAGATAATTCTTGGTCTAGTGTCTAAGCTGATTTGCAGTGATTAGAAATGTGTATTTCTGGTAAAAAGATAAGAGGCTGCCATCCCTAAAAAGTGAGCTTAAACTGCATGTGAAGAGAAGAATATGGGCTCACTCTGTTCTACTGCACTAACTCAGGCAAAGGATCTTCCAAGGCCAACTGAGCAGGAAAAAGTGTGTCCTTACTGCAATGCCAGCATCCTTTCTGAAGAAAACAGGGTTTGTGTTCCAAAGCTAATAGATGAAATCTAATTTCTTTTTTTGCAGGGCGAGATACTCTTCTTATTTCTACGTTATTTTGCATGTTTATACTTCACACTCTTTATTTTTAGGTGTACACAGTTTGTATTCCCGATTGCTTTTGGGAAAGCAGTGTTGCTTGCCTTCCTTTAAAATCTATGTCACTTCATTCTGAACTACTGACTCAGTTTCTTTGAAGTTACGACATTTCTAATTCAGGCACATTGGTTTCTTACTCAAATGATGCATCTGCTCTAAATATTTTAAGATAAATCGCTTTATTCCCTTCATTTAACAGGATTATTCACAACTTTTAAGCTTTCCATTAAGATGATTTTGAGGGGTTACTCATGCTTGCTGTCAGCTACAGTTCTGCTGCCCCACGGGATCAGATATTTATAGAAGTTCCTAATACAAAAACAGCTTAGGATTGCTGAGTGTTCTAAGTGTGGACAGTCTATAAGGGCAGGAACACATTATTCATAGCTGTGTGACAAGGCAACGAAATAAACCCTAGAGAGAGAGAGAATCTGCCGTATTGTTTGTATTACAGAATAACACACCTCGCCACACCCATCACCGAAAAAGGGAGGGCAATGGTTCAGTACATATCAACGACTTTGTGTCCATCTACAAAGCAGAGAAGAAGAGCAATTCAGAGGGATTTTGTGAGGGTAACTTTAAATGTCGGTGATGCAGGCGGGACTTGCACCACGGCAGGGTTTAAGGCATCAAGAGACAACCCTGCGTGCAGGAAAAATTTCCTACCTGATCCTGCGGTTTAACTTTTTAGTAATCAAATGGGTATTTTAACTCCCTCCACTGCCTTCCTATTTTGTTTCTCCCTCTGTCACGTTAGGCATTAGCTGCAGGGAAGTGCACCGTTTCTCTTCCCCACAGAGAAGTTAAACAGAAATAGGAACTTGTAAAAATACCAAACTAGGGAAAAAGGGAATTTCTCTGCATTTTTAGCAAGTGAGGAATCCATCTCCCTCCTCTCTTCCTTATTTTAATCCCATTTCCAGTTCTGGAAAAACAACCAAGACAGAGAATGAGTGAGGAATGACTGGAGCTACAGAAACTATTCTGGAGCAGCTGCTCTTTCTCTGTCCTTCGTATTTCTTACCTTCCTTCATTCCCTCCCCACTTGCCAAACTAAGGGCCCATTTGCAAGCACTGCTAATTATGGAGTTGAAAGAATTTGGGAAAACTGATGCAACTTATATCCCTAACAGCTCCCAGACAGCAAGGGAATCTATTACTAAATCCCTGCTGCAGCTACATTGCTTTTTTATTTCTTGTATACTCCTTTGAAATATCTTGTAAAATGATCTTGACAAGAGGTCTTGAATTGAAACCCGACAGTCTGTCAATGCACTTTCATGATGCACCTGTACAGCATCTTCAACCACCAGGAACAAGGAACGTTTATTTATTAGGAAACTTCACAGACGCTATAAAAGATTATATTGCTATCAGAGACAAAATGAGGCCTGGGGCCTTCACAGAAAACCATTATAGCCATTAGGACTGGTTTCATTTCCCACCTGCCTAAACAGATTGTTTTGATTTTGAAGGCTGTCGTGTGTTTCCAGGTTAGTGCTAAATGATCACTTTAAAATTAACCGGTCTGGGGAGGCTGAGTAACACACCAGGATACTACATGAGACTTTCACCTCTGCAGATCCAAGATCTGTAATGAACTCGGGTGATCTAATTCCTGGGTTTTATTTATTTTTCTGTCTATCATGAGTATAAGCAGCACAGGACCTAGCCGGAAGAGGTATGAGGACAGTGTTAGGTAAGCAGACAGTGAAGTTAACAGCTGAAAACCATTACCAAAGATACACAGAGAAAAATTTCTTTTACGATTAATGCCACATACAGTCCAGGCAGTCAGAAGACCCTTGTTCTGTTCTTAGCTCTGTCTTGGCTTTCTCATTTAACAGGCAAATCACTTGGGCTCATATTTAATTTCTGGGTGACTAGCTGAAAGCATGCGGTGGTACTGAGCCCCACAGCTCCGGTTCACTCCAAGGAGTCACTGACAGTTCGTATTTCTGGAAGAAGTCAGACCAGGAGGCTGTCACATCAACCACTCAGTTACCGAGACACTCTCATTTTTTCTTAAAATGTGCTTGTCCCTCACGTTGACATACATCAATGACGTGAAAGGCCTTACTTATCTTTAGAAAGCCGCATGAATTAATTGTTGCAATAATTAATAGCACGTTTTAGATAATCGCTGTTCATAAATAATTTAAAATAGACTACACTGGCTTGCATGTACATAATCGCTTTCACTAAGGGGCTCCAAAACAGAGCATCTGCTTTAAACATTGTGTAAATAGAAGATGAATCACTGATTACAGTTGGTAATAAAAAAAAAACAAAACAACAAACCAAAAGAAGAGTGCTGTTTACCAGGGTCTATTTTTTAATAATTCTCTATTTAGCCC